TCATCCACGTCGATCTAGCCCGGCACCATTCCAAACGTTGGCGCCTATTCGGTGTGGGTCAATGGCAGTCTTCTTAGCGGACGGCATGAGTGCAAGCCATTAGCAACCAATCGACGGGAAATGGTTCTGGTCGAGATGGAATGATCTAGGGTGTCTTGCACATGTTGCAGGATGGCGGTACAAGTGGCTTGTGGGGCCGCCACTGCTTGTCGAAGGATACGCCGATCCACACGTGCTGACGTCACTCTGGTTGCACCGACATTCCTAAAAATTGCCACATTTCCTTGTTCCAACCATCTTCTCCACAGTCGGTGCACCGTGGACGCACCAAGGTGTGTATCAGCTGCGATTTGACGTATGGACCAACCTGCCCTTTTCAGTCCGATCACCATGCCCCTCGTAAAAGCGTATGTCTGCTTGAACTGCCTCCGTTTACGATGACCTGGCATTCTCTGTTATTACACGTGTCTTTTGACACAAGAACAAAATTTCTACAATGATTTCCCTTGAAGAAATAACGACACGAATACTGTCCTTTCTGCAAGTTCCTTCCCTTATATCTTACTCTATGTGCGCACGAGAGCTGCGCATTTTACATCATATGCATAACTCGGTTAGGCGCGTCTACCCTGAAATTTGCATAATTTTCTGGCCACTATTTCTTGGTGTTCCATTTTCAATGTCACGCAGTGTATATATATTTTAAGAAAGAACGTGGAAAACTGTTACAATAGACTGTCACCATCAGACAAAGGTCGTCCAAGTGGCCGTGTCTATGGTTGAAGAGAGAACGTGGAAACTGTTACAATAGACTGTCACCATCAGACAAAGGTCGTCCAAGTGGCCGTGTCTATAGTTGAAGAGAGAAGGTGGAAACTGTTACAATAGACTGTCACCGTCAGACAAAGGTCGTCCAAGTGGCCGTGTCTATAGTTGAAGAGAGAAGGTGGAAACTGTTACAATAGACTGTCACCGTCAGACAAAGGTCGTCCAAGTGGCCGTGTCTATGGTTGAAGAGATAACGTGGAAACTGTGTTACAATAGACTGTCACTAGCAGACAAAGGTCGTCCAAGTGGCCGTGTCTGTAGTTGAAGAGGGAACGTGGAAACTGTTACAATAGACTGTCACCATCAGACAAAGGTCGTCCAAGTGGCCGTGTCTATGGTTGAAGAGAGAACGTGGAAACTGTTACAATAGACTGTCGCCATCAGACAAAAATCGTCCAAGTGCCCGTTTCTATAGTTGAAGAGAAAACGTGGAAACTGTTACAATAGACTGTCACCATCAGACAGGGGTCGTCCAAGTGGCCGTGTCTATAGTTGAAGAGAGAACGTGGAAACTGTTACAATAGACTGTTACCATCAGACAAAGGTCGTCCAAGTGGCCGTGTCTATAGTTGAAGAGGGAACGTGGAAACTGTTACAATAGACTGTTACCATCAGACAAAGGTCGTCCAAGTGGCCGTGTCTGTAGTTGAAGAGAGAACGTGGAAACTGTTACAATAGACTGTCACCATCAGACAGAGGTCGTCCAAGTGGCCGTGTCTATGGTTGAAGAGAGAACGTGGAAACTGTTACAAGAGGCTGTCGCCAAGCCATTAGATGCGCAGAACAAACGTCAAACATTGCAGTTAATTGCTGAGGTTGAGATTATCTCGAGCAATTAGCGGCTGCATGCCTGTGGAATTCCAAGTTAGATTGAGAGGACATTCTTTACGCCGTGCTTCCGGTGTCGTCTGGAATTCTTGACGCCATCTTAGAATGGCGGATGGCCAACTATTCACACTGCCAGAGTGCTGCATCTCTGATCTGGCAGCCTTCTGGTGAATCTGATGACGTAAGAATGTAAGCTCTCAAATGTTTGAATATCCTAACAGTCAAATAATGTAAATTTTCTCTCTTTCATATCTATATATTAAAAATATCCATATATTTTTTTCTCTCTATTGAACATAACAAAATATTTTTAAAACTTTATTCTGTTGGCGTTATGTGGCGCTGGGTTTGTTGTTGGCACACATTAAATATGTTATAATACCTTGATAAAGGTTGGCGTCAGCCAACTGAAATATTGGTAAAATAAATGATATTTTGATCCAATATATGCCTTTTTATTTAAGCATCTATATATCAATACAGACTTTTTGTAGATCTATGATCTATATTTCCTAATCTTTGAACTTGTGGGGGCCAAGACATTTCCTTCCAGCCTGCTGGGATGACGGACCACGCAGTCAGCAAACATACAAGCGGCGCCATGAAATAGATTACCACCGCCGCGGCGCGACAGATCGGCGGAAGCCAACAGAACCCAATAGACATTCTAAGGTGTTGTCTTTTGTCTTCCCCTATAAAATGTAGCCAATAAGTAATACCAATAAAACACTAACTTTGAAATACTTTCTGGGCCATCGCTGGACTAATAAATCGATACGCCACAAACTCTACATTTTTATATTTCGTTTCTTTCAAATAAATAAGAAAATAAAGTCCTTCATCTATAATTGTAGAAGGATAAAGCTCTCTATATTTTCCTTTGTGTATTCTGTGCATATCTTGAGGTTTATTTTAGCGCAATCTTTGAGAGCCTCAAATGAGCGTGCTTTGTGAATCCGTAAGGTAAAGGTTTACATGTGTAGTTCTGTTTGGTGATTTTAACCTTATGTGTGGAGGTCTGCTTGGTGATTTTAACGCTTGTGTGTGATTGTTCTGTGGTTCTGTGAATCTATTTAATTCGAAAATAAACAAATTTTACTCTTATTTGTACTTTAAAAAAATTATAATTCAGATAGATTTGAGCATATTCTTATATATTTTTATATGGGGGCAATTAGTAAGCCTAAAGGGAGGGGCATGTAAGCTGTAAATATTACGTTTGAAAGTTTATAGAGACTCCATAAAATAAACAAAATGAAGTATTTTTGTCTTAACAAACTTGTAGATTATGAAAAAGGCATATCCTTACTGTGCAACTAAAAGTTGCTGATGGATTGCGCCATCTATCGGAATAAATTCGGAAAATATCGCAAAACTTGTAGAATTGGAAGACAAACTAATTTGTTGAAATTTGTAACAAATAAATATACTTGCAATGTCTTTCTTTTCAATAATAGCATCTGAATATTATCTCTACAGACTTTACTACAATGTTACAAGTACCTATATAGCCTATTAGATTCTGCTTGTGTCATTTTCTTTTTTTTTGCTTATCCCTAGTACACGTAGTGTAGACCATGATAACACTGGTCAACAAGATTTTTGCACAAGAGAACCTGATTATGTTTCTAGTGTAACTTTTCATGCTGAACTCAAAAATCTAATCAGAAATTTCCCATCACCTATGGTTTTTGCGTGACGGTCTTTTTTTAGCATTGGGATAAATACACTAAAAATTGCAAACAATGTCACGTAACTGGTTTATCAAAAAATATTTTTCTTTGTCCACAAAGAAATAGCATCTTATCAACATGTCCTGAATCCAAATATCCAAAGGTAGATCTTGTTGTTCAACAAAGGTAGATCTTGATGTTCAACAAAGGTAGATCTTGATGTTCAACAAAGGTAGATCTTGATGTTCAACAAAGGTAGATCTTGATGTTCAACAAAGGTAGATCTTGATGTTCAACAAAGGAA